ATTGCAAAAGGTATCATGTGGCACATCATTTTAAAGCTCTTTTAATTTGAAATACAACTGTGTAGTTTTGTAATTTACCGATTGGTTGTAAAGATAAAAACAATTTTTATTGTTATTACCGTATCAATCCTGCAATATTTGGTCAAAACGGCTTTGGTTAGTTGAATTTGTAATGTCTATGTTTAATAAATTTTGGAACTAAACAAATCTCATCGATGAAAATCTAAAAATGAAAGAAAGTCGGTTAGATTTAGAAAAAACCAATGCCTATCAATTACATTCTAATAAATTTTTTACTGTTTTTCTTTGGAGAACTAAACCATTTAAAATAACTTACTTGTCGTCAATCGTTTTTTGCTTATTGTTGATAACCTAAAAACGCTAATGTTTGAACGTTCGATGCATTGTAAATCAGTTAAGTTACTATTCTTACCTTGCTTAATTGTTTAAATATGGTGTTCACATTACAAGAACGTGTTGAGTTGGTAGGCTGCTATTAAGAAAATAAAAAATGTGCTCGAAGAGCTGCAAGGATGTTCAACGAAAATCACCCCGATCGCAATGTTGGCCACAAATACATCGGAGAATTAATCTCAAAATTTGTTGAAACGGGTTCAGTTTTAAATTTTTTAACTTGTTTAATTCTCATATTGTTTTTATTACTTTATTTTTATATATATACATATGTATATATATGTATATACTTTTGTTGTTGCTATTTCTTATTTATTTTATTTTCTAGTCTTATTAAACACCAATTATAATATCACACTTGGTTAAGTGTAAGAGTAGCCTTGGGCTAAACTTCGCCATTGTGTGCCACTTTATGTAAAGTATTTAATAATATTATTGTAATATTTTACTAAAAAATAAAGACGATTATTATTATTATTATTATTATTATTATTATATTAAATAAAAAAAGGCTTCCAGAGGACTTGTGCATGACGAAGGAGCTGCTGTGACGGTATTGGGACATATCCAGCTTATGCCAAATACGCAGTCAATTCGGCAAATATCTGCAACTTCCGGCGTGAGCAGCACTAACGTGTAACCTCGGTGGTGTAGTAGTCAACGCTGCGGACTACAAGGCGAGAGGACGTGTATCGTTTACTTGGATGCAAAAACAACAAAATTAACCTATAAAATGTCATTTACTAAGAAGGTGGAAATAAAATAATGTATTAGTCGATACCCCTTCTCTATTCAAATTCTTAAGGGGGTAGCTCCTGGGCGCAAGGGGTAGAGGTGAGAAACCAAATTTTTCCCTGAAAAGTTGTCCCCCTCGATATAAAACTTTAGGTGTTTGACGTTTTTTCAATTTTTTTTCAGGTTCCGAGAAATTTAGGGTGGTTCGTTCGTTTATATTGAAGGCTTATGAAAAAGTTAAAGAATTGCCCAGAATTGGACCATACGATGTGCAATTTTAAGTATCTACATATGTTTAAATATTTGAATCGACTTTAAATGAGCTTTTGTATAGTAATTTAATTTTACGTGGGGGGCATTTTTTTTCTTAATTCCTTAAATTACTCCCTATAACGTCTATTATATCTGTAAAGGTTATTAAAGTAAAAGTTTGTTTCTAGGTGTAAACTGATTTCAAAAATTTAATCCGAATTTGTGTATCTTCAATTGTTTTTGCATTTGCTAAAACAAACAATTTTTTTTCGGCATGTTTGATTAGGATCACATGTTTTAAATTTTCATATGTTGTACAGATGGTATACCACTACTTCCGAAAAAAAATGTACCATCTTGGCTTTCCGCCTAAAGCCTGATTTATACAGTGTGTCCACGAATAGAGTTTGGAAGAGGAAAAACTTTTTTATTTGTGGGTTTATAAAAACGTCTGTTTGTGTTGAAACTACAATTTCGAATACCAAATTTACGATTACTATACAGGGTACATCAAAAATAACATTTTTAATGATTTTGATTTCGATTTTTTCCGAAATTTTATGAAAATATTTTCAAAACCGTGATTTATTACACCAATTGTGCAAAAAAGTCTAATAAACAATTTTCTTAAAGTGGTTAATTTCAAAGCTACTATTAAAATAATAAAATATCAAGTAGCGTGTTCTAAATAAATGAAATGTTTTAGTTACTTTGCATCTCTCAAATTTTTGATAGTTGTGTCATAATTTTGATAGTTGTGTCATAATTTTCTCATAAATTTGCATAATAGTGAAATTATAAAATGCTAAAGTTAGAAGAAAGAATTTATATTGTGCAAAGTTATGGTTTAGGACATGAGAAAAGCTATATTGCAGTTCTTCGAGAATTCCATGAGATATGGCCTGATGTTCCTCTCACGGACAATGGTTTAAAAAAATTGTAATAAAATTCATGAGAACTATAGTGTTTTAAATAAAAAAAGGAAAAAAATAGTATGATGAAGATGATGCTGTAACTGTAATGACGATGGATTCAGTTAGAAATTTTCCCAAACTGTCTTTAAGAAAAAGATCTTCTCAAATTGGTAATGTGAGTAAATCTCTAGTAGGAAAAATATTAAAATTCAATAAAATTCGTCCGTACAAACCTAAATTTAATCATTTTCTGGAAGAAAATATCGACATGAAGAGTTTGGATTTTTGTTTGTTGATAGGGGAACATATCCTTAGACAAAGAAGTTTTGTTAATAATATTATTTTCTCGGACGAGGCAACTTTTACCACGAACGGGGTAGTTAGTTCGCAAAACTGTCGCTATTGGAGCCGCGAAAATCCTTATTTTCGTATCCGCTCTAGAAGACAGTATTCACACAAAGTTAACATGTGGTGTGCTATTTCTTACAATGGAATCATTGGACCATATTTTATTGAAAACAATTTAAATCAACACACTTATTTGCATCTTCTGAACATTTTTTGTATGATCATTTGCAAGATATACCTTTAGCTGATCGAATAAAATTACATTTCCAACAAGACGGCTGTCCCGCTCATTCCCCGATAATTGTTCGTGATTGGCTAAATAATCAGTTTGGAAAAAATGGTTTGGAAGGTATGGTCCAAATGAGTGGCCACCTAGGAGTCCCGATCTCACAATTATGTACTTTCATTTGTGGGGATATCTGAAGCAACATGTGTATAAAACCAATTTAAATAATAACGTAGATCTCTTGAAAGAAAAAATAAGAGAAGTCATTGCAAATATCCCAATACAGCAAATTAGGAATTGTTATCGGGAATTCAGATATCGAGTTGAACAATGCGCTGAACTCGGTGAACCACGTTCGAATAGAATGTTATTTATTTTAATATTTTATAATTTATGATTAAGAAATAATAATAATAAAAATACAAATAAGAAATAAGTAGTTTTCTTACAACAAAATCGTTATTCGGCCAGATATAAAATTATATTCTAAGTAAGAAAGCAACAATACGTGGGTTGAGTATTATATTGTTCTATAAATCCAAAATGAAATTGTTGGGGAATGGCGATTAAATATTCCAGGCTCATTCTAATACCGTTTGTAAAGATTTTTATAATTTTAAGTACTGGTTTTGGACTTATATCCTTAAGAATTAAAAAATGTATTGTCCCTATTTGAACTTATTTCTTCCAATACTGGGTTTTACAAAATAAACAATTTTTGATAGAACATTTTTTTTTATTGAAAACGAAAATTTTACACAAAACATCAGATTTTGTTCTAACAGCATACAAAATTCTTTAAAACTAAAAGTTTTTAGTTCTAAAGAATTCCAAAACTTTAGGTTTCTAATAAGTATCCCTTAAATAAGAACATACCTACGTATTCTTTTTTTTTTAATTGCACCGCACAACCACGTGATTATTACTTGCATACAAAACTGAAACAGCAAAAATTATATTGTTCTAACAGATCAAAATTCTCTTCTCTCATTGGTTGGTCTGTTAGGATATTATAATTTTAAACCGTTTTTAAATAAGTGCGATAGAACAATTTAATAATGCTTTTTTTTTAGTTTGTGTATTAAATTAAACAGGCATTTTTATATACATAAAACAGAAATTTTATGTACTATTTTTCTATCAAAAAAGCCAAATTTACGATTACTATACGGGGTTAGCCAGAAACAACATTTTTATTTTTTTGGATTTCGTTTAAAATAAATTTACATAAGAACAGACAACTATTATAGTTGTCTGTTCTTATGTAAATTTATTTTAAACGAAATCCAAAAAAATAAAAATGTTGTTTCTGGCTAACCCTGTATAGTAATCGTAAATTTGGTATTCGAAATTGTAGTTTCAACACAAGCAGATGTTTTTCTAAACCCACAAATAAAAAGTTTCTTCTTTCGAACTCTATCCGTGGACACACTGTAGATTGCCTTCCTTCCTTCCTTCCCCCCGTAGAAGATGAACAATACAAAAACCGTTGTGCTGTTTAAAGATACGGGAATCTATAAATGGCACTAAGATTTTCGTATTTTTCATCTTTTACGGGAGGAAAGAAGAAAGGAAAGAAGGAAGGCAATCTATAAATCAGGCTTAAGGGCTATGCTTAACCGAGCGACAAATTGACAGAAATGAGTTAAAAGTATACTTCATATAAAAAGATCAAAATGCTAGGGCTACCCGAATACCATCTTTTGCCCAGATCAATATATTATAGAAGGAGTTTAAAACCTAATTCTCTGGTCTGAAAGATTTTTCGGCGATTAGTTTTTTTATTGATATTTATTTGAAATTAATCTTAAAAAAACATTTTTTTATGGAGAAACAGTAAATTTTTTGGTTTAATTTACTGCTATTTGGGTTATTTGTTAATAAAAACTCATTTTTTAACATAGCACAAACTCAATTTATGAATAAAACAATTAGGTACAAATGAATACTATTGTAAAAACAAACGGGGCTTAAAATTTTCTTTGAAAATTCAGGGTGATGTTTGAAAACTCGGTAAGTATCTTTTCTTTTTTAAAATCGGCATGGAAGGCCTCCGAAGCTTAAGCAGGGTGATGTTTGAAAACTCGGTAAGTATCTTTCCTTTTTTAAATTCATGTACGGCCTCCAAAGCTTAAGCTAAATTTTCCTAAGCCGCAATTTTTCAATAAACAAAATTTATGAATATGAATAAATATGGCATGAAGTTTTGGAGTCACGTTTATTTGCAGTTCCAAAAAGTCTTTAAGAAATTGTTGTATCTTTTCGTTACAATCCATGTCCAAGTTGCTTCCAAAACATGATTTCACCACAATTTTCAAAATAAGACAACTGAAGGAGTTTCCATTAAACGTACCTATAAAATAAAAGAAAAACGGAAGTAGTAAATTAAAACGGGCACAGAAAATTTTTATGATTGGCTTCTCTCTACATGGCAAATTTCAGTCCATTTTTGGCAAATTTCGTAAGCTCTTTAAGCATGGTGTTTTAAATCGTATTAACAGCACCCAACAACAAGTGTAATTCTGGCGTAGGAATAACTTTTATTATTTCTGTTCTTTTAACTGAAACTTCAATAAATAAATGAAATATACAACCGGTGGCCACCAAACGTTTGTCGTTTACTTTCACAAACCAAATAAGTGGTTTTGTATGTTAGTTTTAAAAGTTCTCAAAGTACCACTGTTAAACAAATGATACTTGTGAAGTACGAGGATCGTTCGGTAACTACGTGGCCTAACTAAGAAAACGCAATTTTTTTGGACAAAAAACATTTTATTTTTCAATTTAGTCTCCAGCTCCCTTAACACACTTATCCCAATGATATTCTAAATTAGCAATGCCTTCCTTGTAGGCCGATGAATCCAAGTCCTCGAAATAGCTATATAAAGCATTGTTTGGACTGTTATTTGGTTTTGGGGAGTACAATGGTGGACCCAGGTTTCATCGACGGTTATGAAACGACGCAAAAACTCCTTTGGATCGTGGCGAAAATGTCTCAAAAGGTCGCGAGACACACTCAAACGATTCAGTTTTTGCTCCGGTGCACCGCGGTGCAAGCAATCGCGGCACCCAACGCGCCAAGTATTTTTTCATTTCCAATTCTTCGGTTAAAATTCTGTGCACACTGTCATTTAAGATACCTACCCATTATGTCTGCTATCTTGCGCACTTTTACTCGACGGTCATTCAATACGATATGGTGCTCTTTTTCAATAATATCCGGGAGAGTAGCCGTTTTTGGACGTCCACTACGGGGTTCATCAGTTGTACTCGTACGATCACGTTTAAATTCGGCAACCCAGTTTTTAACCATTAAAAACGAAGAAGCGGACTCAAATAGTGTTAAATCCAGCTCTGCTTTAATTTCGGTTGGTGTTAAGCCTTTTAAATTGAAGTACTTTATCAGTGCTTGCAATTCAATTTTTCCATTGTTTACAAAATTACACGAGACGTTCACTTTGCACGGTGCTGTTCTGAGGTGATTTTTGGACTTTCTGTGAAACCTAATTTTTTTTTATATTCTTGTTAATTAGGTCATAACTAAAATTTTAAGAGCAAAATAAAAAAAATTTGACTGTTAATTTTGTTTTAATTGGATGTTTATTAAAAATATGTATGCACACTTTCAATTCTCCAATTAAAACTTGCGATTTTATTTAAATATTATCATAACTTTTTAAATCAGATTAAAGATTAGTTAATTTCCTAAAAAAAGGTCTATACATTTTTTATATCTTTTACTGTTTTGTTGTAATACACGTTTAAAGTTTTAATTTAAGGTTAAATGTATAGTATACATGTATTAAACAATAATTCTAAGGGTGCCACATTTATTTAGGGCCGATTTATTCATTTTTGATTTATTTTACGAATAATTTCTTTGGATACTAGATATTGCAAGACATGAAAGTTAGTCGGTCCTTAGTTAAATTTCATAAATTTCTTCGTATCTTTTACTACAATTTTTCATTTTTGTTTATAAAAAACACTTTAAAAAACTAAACAAAAATTATAGAATACGTATACTGAAAATGACAATTCAAACGTCCAAAAATCACCTCTCAGAACAGCACCGTGTTTGGCGTACTGTCAAAAACAGACTAATTGACAGATCACTTTGTAGTATTTAACCTATTAAAAGATGATTTCCTAAAATGGTAAAGAAGATTCTTCCAAATTCGCGCCATTTATGTGTTAGGCCACGTAGTTTCCGAACCATCCTCTCTTCCAAATTCGCGCCATTTATGTGTTGGGCCACGTAGTTTCCGAACCATCCTCGTACAAGGATTTATAAAGCTTTGGGGCATTACTCCCGTAAGTATGTTGGCAAGCTTTAAATCAGTTGCAATATACAATTTGCCAGCATCATTTAACTTCAGTAAGTCCCATAGTTGTTTAACGTTATGGTATTTTTCTTGGACATCGTGTTCTATACAAATTTTGAATAGTTTTTGGACTACAGATCTTTTATTCTTTTTGGTAAAAAATTCTTTGACGTCTTTTTTTGTATACCTAAATATATTTTTAAAGAACCTTCGCCTGCATCCATGCCTACTTTAAGGATTACTTTTTCTGCAGACGTTATACAAATATACCTTATACAAATATATACGTTATACAAATATACAAAATAAACAAAAGTTTCTTTTTTAGTTCCACCCTTACTTCTTAAGAAGTCCCAGAAGCCAACTGAATGGCTTGTGCGGGTTAGGGGTAGGAACGGACCGCGGGCTTAAAGTCCCCTCCGAAGGACTAATACACAATAGGACAAATACAAATAAACAACCATACCAATATGGGACTCGAACCCACGACCTCTCGGTTTGTAGTCAGCAGCACTGACCACTAGTCCACCGTCGGCGGTGTATAAAACATATAAAATCAGTTTTAACAGTGCGATTGGCTGGAATCTGCAGAATGATATGTTGCACATAATTTTGTTTTTAAATTTGATTCAATCAGTTTCTATCCGGTTCCTGAAGCCGTATGCCATTCCGATGCTGGATTTATTGTTTTGTTTATTCTTAGATTTAAAGTCAATTGAATTTGTGATAAATTTTTAGCTTATAATTTTGTGTAATTTGTCTGCATCAGTTCTTTGGATGTTAAATGCATAAGTGAACGTCCTGAAGCCGTTGATAAAGCAAGAGAACTGTCGCTAGTTAAGTTTTGTCAAGGTTTTAAAACAAGTGCTGCCACTTTTTCTTGCGATTTCTGTGATCCGGAGAAGGAATTTAAATATTTGCGACCTTTAGTGCAATGCAATGGGCCTTACCTCTGAAGCACACCGTTAAACAATGATTGCATAGTTTAGAAGATTTTCCATTCTTAATCTTTTTAAACTTTGGCGGACGACCTTATAACTTTTTTTGGGTACAAATTGTTTTCTCCAGGAAATTGGAAAATTACATATTTTCTTTTATATAGTCAACCTGTTTAATTTTTCGTTTGAAAATACCTTTTCCGTATTTCCCACCGCTAATCTGCACGTTCCACACAGTTCTTTGACAAATTGGGATCGTTCATGTCGTAGTCTTTTACAAATTGTGCTTTCATTATTTGTAGCTGTTTTTTATTCACTTTTCGCATGGTTTATATTTTTTCAAAACACAATACTCATAAAATTTTTCGGTTTTCTTTATGGCTCTTTATTATTAATTTTTTGTTTTTTGCTTATTTAAAAAGTTATTACTTTAGCACCCTCAAAACAAACACACATCTCTCTACAAGCCACCGTTTAACGAATGAATATATTCATTCGGCAAGAGTTTAGCATAAGTTTAGCAAGCACTTTTTAAAATAAATTTTAAATACATTCAGTACTAAATTAAAGCAAATGTACCATTTTTTAAACGTGTATTTTACACCAAAAAACCTACTCTCAATTTAAAAAAAATATTTGATAAATAATAAAACACAATATTATATTTAACCTTGAATATGTCAAAATTTGATGCTTTTAGATAAGCATAGTACCTATTTTCAACAACTACAGCTGACATATGTCAAAAATGATAGGTGACAGATGTCAAAAATAATCTATACGCTAAAGAAGTATCGGGTTTTCGCAACGTGCGCGCCATCTGGTGGACTTCAAATGCATTGCGTGAATTTAATACATCATTTTTAAATGAATAGGTAGTTTTTTTACAAAAGAGAGGAAGGCAGAAGTCTTACTCGACAAATTTTGTTCAATTGCACAGCTAAATCGCGCACGTTATTTGTGTTTTACGTTACAAGGAAAAAAATAAAAAACTTTTTAGGACTCGATTTTGATTAATTATTCCTTATATCATTGATTAAGAAACTCAACGCTTAAATGCTTATATAGTTACATTAGTGTGTGTATTTTATCAAAGGGATCATGGTGAATTATTGTGTTTTTAATTGTAAATATATTTACAATTTACAATTTTATAAAATTCAAGAACTACCTAAATCGTTGCATTTTTATGTTTTGCCAAAGGATCCAATTCGGTAAGTACATTTGTTGGTGCAGAATTAACTTATGATAACTTTACCTTTACCTTTATAATTTAACTTTACCTTTACCTTTATAATTTATAATGGCTTTAACAGCCATTCCACGCTACTCGGGAATTTTTGTAGCGTCCGTTACAATCAAAAATTTTGAGTAAAACTACCGTAATTATGATGCTTATAAGCTTAAGCCTAATTATTACAAGCATAATAAACATGTTTGCAATATTAACTATTGTTATAGTATTTAATTTAATTACGGTAGCTTTTACTCACAATTTTTGATTGTACTTAACGGACGCTATAAAAATTCCCGAGTAGCGTAAAATGGCTGTTAATTTGGACATTTTTAAGAAATTAGTAAAAAATAATGTTTGCACAAGCATAACCTTAAAATTAATCATTTTTATATTTGAGTTCTCTAAAAAACGCCGACAACTGCATTTTAAACAACAAAATATACCTACGAATTCATGGCAACATAATATTATATATCGACCCATGCAACGAAGACTATTGTAACTCAGTTTTGATTGTAGACTAGAGTAACTCAACTTAATATAGTTTTCGCCTGTAGGAATGTGGATTATTACACTTACTATAAAGGGAAGTTGTTCACTGGTTGCCTATCGTTTCATGTCTGAGTTACTGTAATCTTCCACCAAATAGAGCTTGAAAAAATCTGTTGATGCCATATAGTAAGTCAAAACCCACGTTATTTGAGTTACTATAGTCTTCGTTGCATGGGTCGATATAATACATAATATAATGTTATTTTACCGTTGAGTGGAGACTTTAAAGAATTCTTAATCAACGCTTTTAATAATGCTAAATGCTTATTTGTTTGACGATTTTTACTGAATTGAAATGTTT